CCCTTGTATGACCATGTCAGAAACTTGCCAAGTTTTGTGTAACTTATTTACAAGTGTAATCTTTATTTTTACCCTCTCCTTCCTCTCTAAAAAAATCAATAATATATATTTTTAAAAATACCTCAAAAAGGCCCTGACCAGTTTGGCTCAGTGGATAAAGCGTCGGCCTGCGGACTGAAGGGTCCCAGGTTCGATTCCGGTCAAGGGCATGTACCTTGGTTGCGGGCACATCCCCAGTAGGAGGTGTGCAGAAGGCAGCTGATCGATGTTTCTCTCTCACCGATGTTTCTAACTCTCTGTCCCTCTCCCTTCCTCTCTGTAAAAAAATCAATAAAATATATTTTTTAAAAAACAGCTCAAAAAGTTTAACTGAAAAATAAAAATAGTGATAAAAGTAGCAAACAACCCTTTGAATACATCCTAGATGTAAACAAGAACGTGGATTTCAGAGAAAATATAGAATATGACTCTGTGTTGGGACAAGTGAATCTGTAAGTGTAACCATGTGGAGTGTGTAACTGAAATGATTATAAATAGGAGGCATGATGATAAATACCTGAATCAGATTTCATTGGACTAGTTATCCACTTGCACCTATTCACCAGAGTGTAGTTTACAAAATTTTGTCAAATCATGGCTATTATTATTTCTAACAATACATGGCCTCTCTGGAAATCAATCAAGTGCTTTTAATATCAAGTGAAAAACACTATCACTACAAAGCAGTTTAACGATGAAGAACAAACAGTATTTAATGTTGAGGTTAGATTATTAGGAGCTCTTAAGAATGAACTATGTTGTAAATTGACGAGTATTTTAAGTCTTCTCAAAACCTGATGATTTTCTTTACTTGTCAGAGAAAGGAACAGATGACATTATTACTGGGCATATCTTTAAAAGCAGAGCCAACTGCTGCAACAGAACAAAAGGGGATTGAGAATCCAATTATTGTTCTTTCAGCTTCTGAGAAATGTGCTCATTTTTTGCCCACTGGACAAAATGCTGAATGAGGTCTTCAGGGGGAAACCTCTCCATAATTTATTATTTATGTTTGAATAAAAAAAATACCAAAGAATTTTATAATATTAAAATATCAAGGATATTAAGAGACTATAGACAGGAACATCAATTAGTGTTCAATAACCACCAAATACTTGCTTATAGTCTCAATGACCTGTAATAATGAGTTTGGAATTTTCCTACTTAACAGGCAAAGATTAATAAATAAGAGTAAAAATTAAAATAGACCAGACATGGAACCTCACCTACCCTTTGCTATACATCATCAAGCTAAATATAAGGACACCTTGGTGAAAGATATGGTCTTGGTTGATGACTGATGTGATTGATTTAAACACTTCTGTTAATAGTGTTTTTTATAAAAGATTTTTTAAATTTATTACTGATTTTCAGAGAGAGAGGAAGAGAGAGGGAGGGAGAGGGAAACATCAATGTGACAGCGAAATATTCATCAGCTGGCCCCTGCATGCCCCCTACTGGGGACAGAGCCCGCAACCCAGGCATGGTAATCGAACTGGCAACCTTTAGGTGCACAGGATGACGCCCAACCAAGCCACACCATCCAGGGCTGTTAGTGATTTTTTTTTTGTAGGAAGAACAATTTTTTTAAGTATATTTTTATTGATTTCAGAGAGGAAGGAAGAGGGAGAGAGAGAGAAACATCCATGATGAGAGAGAATCATGGATCGGCTGCCTCCTGCACACCCCACATTGGGGATCCAGCCCGCAACCTGGGCATGTGCCCTTGACTGGAATCGAACCTGGGACCCTTCAGTCTGCAGGCCGATACTCTATCCACTGAGCCAAACCGGCCAGGGCTAGTGATTTTTTAAAAATTAAAATTGGTGTTTTGTGTTTATGGGGAATATCCGTTATGCAGTTGATAGATAATAAAAGACTGAGGAGACATGGGCTTACAGACTCCTAGGCACACTGTTGGGGACCCACTGGACTCTGGCTCCTGCCTGCTCCCCAGTCTCAATTTTCAGCCTCAGCCCAAGCTCCACCTGTAAGAAACCACATACAGTGCCCCCAAATGCCACGCTTGCTGGTCCATCCTTGCCTTAGCGGCCCACCCTC